GAAGTTTCTGCAAATAAGAAAAAGGAAAATGCAATTCACTTTTGGACACTAGGCTCTGCTGACCCATTGTATGAAGTTTGTCTTGACCAGTATTATAAGCAAGCGTGGCGTAGCGCTAGCGGGGCAAGCAAGGCTGAAGGTCCTGAAGCGGCCATGTTCAGTGCACAGCAATGACACTTTACATCTACAACCCTGACTTTCCCTGAAATTAACCAAGCCCCTACTTCTAAACTTTTGAGTCTAGCATTTTTGCAAAGTGAACACGGTAAAGAGTTTCTATTTGCGTTAGAGTCCTTCTACCTCAAAACAGAGCAATGAGCAGGGGAGGCACTCCGCCGGCCGATGCACTCATTTTCAAAAAACTCACGGCGATCTTTGTCATAGCGCCGCCACGGCATGGCAATCGCGCACGCTCAGTAGAACATGGCTCGCCAGAGGCGCCACGCAAAGCGTGGCCACGCACGACAACAGAGGCGGCGGCGGCCCAACGCCGGGGCGGCTCCAATGGTCACCGACTCGACCAAATTGCGCCAGCGGAGAGGATGAATAGGCAGAGACGGTGGTCATGGCGGCTTGGCCGGGCACAGTCGGAAGCCTGGCCAAACGCGGTGGCGGCGGCGGGCGGCTGCACGACGGTGGCGGCGCAATCGGTGGCTCTCGGCCGACGGAGACGGAGGGACGGCGCGTGGGGCATCGGCGACTCCGGCCAAGCACGTGAGGGCGGCAACAATAAAGACGGCCAGCCACGGCTGGTGGAGCACTGCACCACAAGCAACTGGCGGTGGCGGCGGTGGACTGGCTACCCTCCACCGACTTATGACTACAGGCTGAGACGACGGTGGGGCTCGGGCGCTGAAAGGTCCTTGTTGGTTTTGGTAATTGAGTGACAACTTAGGTGGACTAATTGTGTTTATGTGAGATACACAGGTGATTAGTCCACAGGTACATGTGTATGAGCAACATATGCCATGGAGGTGAAAATGGCTTGGAGATGTTGCAAAGCTCACACATGTGATGATGAAGGAGCTTAACGCAAGACATGAGACATGACATTGAGTCATGTGATCAAGGTGGAGAAGATCAAGACAAGACTTGGCTTGATGGACCGTTTGTGGCGTGAAGGGCAAGTCAAAGGCTTTGAGTGATGGATCCGCGTGGCGTGAAACTTGAGCAAGACTTGGCGCCCGATGGGCGATATAGCAACGGTGAAGAGCAAGTAGAGTCAAGATCGATGAACCAATATGATCATGTGATGATATGAAGTGGATCATATCATTGTTGATCGTGTTGGTGCATGTGTTGCATCGACATTGAAGGAGATGGAATGGAATGCGCAAGGCAAAGGTATAACCTAGGGCATTTCATTTCACCACCATAGGTGTGTAGAGAAGTTGATGACCGGGTTTAGGATAGATGGCCGTATTATCAAGAGGGGCAAACTTGTTTGCATATCGGTCATCTAGTGCCACTCGAGTGATCTAACTTTGCATTGTCGCTAGGATCGAGTGGCGTGGCAAGTTGAGTGGCTAACATCCTTTGGGAAATGATTGTGAAAATGCTAAATACACATGGTGGTGTACACTTGGTGGTGTTGGCACATTTACAAAGGAGGTGGTGTTTGTAGGGGAGATGGGTTTGGGTCCTCTCCCCCCGCCGAGCTTGCTTTCGGCGGGATTCAACGCTTTCGGAAAAATAGAATGCATGTTTTCTATTGCGCGGATGCAAGTTCTTGTGGTTAGCACATTGGAGCAAGGGTGATGAAGTTAGAAGTAAAAACGAGTTAGTTAGTTGCGAAGATGTTTGGCGTCGGTCAACCGGACCGACGCCGATTGAATGCACCGGACAAGCGAGCAAAGGCCGCGGTCCGGTCGACGACGACGACGCAGGCTAGAGGTGACCGGACACGTCCGGCGAGGTCGGTGACGAAACGACTGCAGTACGCGGGGTTCAGCGCAGGTCGATTGAAAGTCGTCCGGTCAAGTCAAGTGACCGTTGGAATCGGACACGTGGTCGTCTGCGGCGCGACGGACGCCGAGGTCCAGCGTCCGGCCAACACGACCGAGGCGGCGTCGGTCGGCCCGGCCGCTGCCCAAAGAAGGGTAACGGCTAGTTTAGCCCTTGGGGCTATAAATAGAAGTGGGCCTCGGCCATGGTTGGTGCTTGCACCTCAAGGGACTTAGTGTCCATGCTTGTGAGTGCTTGGGAGCCCTCCATCACACATATACTTGATAGTGATCATTCGATTGTGTGAGTGAGCGATTCTAGTGCGATTGCATCGTGAGGTTGCATCGAGTGGCACTAGGTGATCAAGTTGCAAGCCGGTGGTGCTTGTTACTCTTGGAGGTTGCCACCTCCTAGATGGCTTGGTGGTGGTCTCCGTCGGCCCCGCAAGAAGCTTGTGCGGGCGCCCCCCGAGAAGTGCTTGTGAGGGCATTGTGCTGCGCCCCAGCCGAGCCGCCAAGAGCAACTCTAGTAAAGCGTGTCATTGAGCTACCCTCACTCAAGGGGTAGGTTCTTGCTTGGCAGGCGCGCGGGCTTAGCGGGTGATGCTAATTAGCCACGAACCACCAAGTGAGCGATCGACACAACAGGGACTAGCGTGTTGGCAAACACGTGAACCTCGGAGAAAAATCATCGTGTCAACCTTGTTCCTCCCATTGATTTGCATCCCCATTACACAAGCTTGCAATTTCTTTTATACATATTAAGCTTGTGTAGTTGCTCTTGTAATTAGATAGCTTGTGTAGCTAGCTAATTACCTTCTTGCTTGTGTAGCATAGAAGTAACTCCCTTGCGTGGCTAATTTGATTTTAGTAACCTTGTTAGTCACATTGCTTAGTTTGTGTAGCTAAGTATTTGCGCTCTCTAATTAGGCATTGGTTGCCTTGTTATTGAGCATTGCTAGTGAGCTTAGTTAGCTTTGTGCTTTTGCTTACTAGCATGTGTAGGAGCTCCCTTGTTACTTAAAGTACTAGTGGCATAGGTTTGTGTGACCTTGCTCCTAGAATTGTTTAGGAGAGCTCTAGCTAGCCCGGCACCTTAGTTGCTTTATTAGTATCTTTGCAAGGTGCTAGTGAACATATATAGAGGGGTGTAGTCTTGGCTAGACCGATTGTTTTAATTCCACATTTATATCGGTTAGCCGACGCGATTAATTTTAGAAAAGACTATTCACCCCCCCTCTAGTCCGCCATCTCGACCTTACAGGCGCGCTCGCAAGGGGGGCCGGCAACGAGCGGGCAGGAGGCGCGGCACGATGACGTCGGCGTGTCAGCATGACAACAACGTTGCGGACTGCGACAGAGACAAGCTGGGAGGGTGGGAGGAACAGACGCGAGAGGGAGAGCGAGGAGCCATGTGCGGGCTCGCCACCAACTTCAAGCACGATGTGGGGGCAGGCAGCACGGCGTAGCGTGGCTGGCAAAGGCACGCACAGGAAAGGGAGTGGACACGGCATGGGCAGGAATTGAGCCATGTGCTCCCCTTCTGACGCCCCTGCGCAGTGGACCTGTTCAAGATGTGGGCTCCACTGCTTTAACAAAAGCTCTTCTCCACTGTTAGATTTCCAACTTTGATTAGGTGACTAAGACCAGTAATGCAGTGGACGCAAGGACAGAGCAGGCCATGGTAGGTGAAATGAGTGGCTGTGAACGATGCTGAACGCTGGTGCGTGAACGAGCACCAGATTGAATTCGCAGCGCGTTCTAACAAAGTTAGGCAATTTTTACGAGAGCGTCGTGAGACCCATCGTCACCCCGACCTACACCGTTCTCAAGTGCTCACCTTGGTGCAAATCACTAAATAAAAACATGGCACTAGTGTTTAACTAAATTTTCAGAAATCAATTGCCAAAACGGCATTATCTACTATCATTTCATACTTAAAAAATTCAAGGTTTCAGTTAGAACTAACATCCCTAAGCACTTTTGGTTTAATTTTTAAATGGTCTAAACTTCACCAACAACCATTTTACGACATAGCACACGCTTTATACCAACAATAGAACCAAAACATCAAGGCGTTATTTCACTATTTTGCATTTTAAAAATCGTCAAAAAGTGTACTTTCAACACAACTTTAATTTTTTGCCGATTCAACGAAAAGGGCTAATTTTAATTTCCAATTTGATTTTTGAGCTCCCACAACACTAGTTAACAACATCTATTTTCCAAAAGTCGATGTTGCATTTCCATCTACTAAACTTGCACTTCAAATTTTATTTAAGTACCAATTACAAGTTATATTTTATTTTTGTTTATAAAAATTGTTTTTCGTGCCAAACAAGTAAACTGCTTCTCGTATTTTCTTGTTAAGATATCCTTAGCACATTTAAGTAACTAACTCACTATATTAATAGATCTATTTCTCCGACCGTAATCTCTGTGCTTAGCGAGCTCGTAACACCAGAGGTGTTACACGCTTCCTCCACCCTCTCTGGTCAATCCAAGCGACCACGCCGCACGGAGACAGGGCGAGGCTAGCAGGCACATGCGGGCGGCCGAGCGTGTGTGTGCAGATGCCTACGCTGCACTGCTACAGCGAGCAACCAGGCAGGAGTGGCGGACTGCCGGGGCTGCAGATCTGCAGAGCTAGGAGCAGCACTGGTAAGCATTCGGCGGCTACCCTCTATTTCTAGCTATTGGTTTATCTTCTCAGTGATACATTTTTTATTGCCTTCCTTCTCACGTCCTAGATTGGAGCTTGTTGCGGCAAGGCATTGCCGATTGGAGCTTGTTGCGGAAGGCATCTGATGCACGGTCCGATTGATGCTTTGAAGCATGGCCGTGAGGACTTTATGGCCGGATTAGAACCCATTGGCTGTGGATGTGTTGATTTATTAATTTGTGATGTCTTTGTATCATTGATTTGTTTGTATACCATTAACGTGAATTTGTGAATACATTTATGAATACATGTATGGTTGACATCAAGATGAACTATCATGAACTGACGCGGTACGGGGATCCCCATGGGGACTAATTCCCCGCGTGGGGAGGGAGATGGGGAGAAAGTCTCCCCCGTGGCACTTGACGGGGAGGGGGATGGAGAATTTTCTTTCCCACGGGGACGGGGATGGGGAGGCACTCCCGACGGGGAATTCCCCGTTGACATCTGGAGTTCCTACTGGGAGATGTTTCTTGGATAAACCGTGTGCTTGGTCACAACAGGAAGTCGCGGCAGTTTGGGCTTGGTCCAGTTCGGTTAGACATTCTAAAACTAAAGCGGCAGGTTTGGATGTTTGGTTTAATCTTCATTTCTGCAACACACTTTCCTATTTTTAAACTATATATACTGCTTCCAAATTGCATACATTATATTGGTCCTGTTTGGCTTGCTGAAACTTACCTGAAACTGGCTGAAAAACACTATTCTGGATTGAATTGTTGTGAGAGAGAAAATACTGTTTCGACTAAAAAAACAAACCGATTTCTGGATAAGTCAAACAGGGCCTATTTATAGCCTACAGACATTGGAGTTTAGTTTGTTTTACTATGTCATTAAGTGCCTCTCAGAATTTCTTTCCTCATTCAAATGATTGCATAAACACACAGTGCCATGTATGATACACATTGAAAAACACCTACAAAACCCCGTCCAAATTAAGCGAAATTTTTCTTTGGCCCAGGCTGCCAAAAACACTGCTTCACGGTTGAGAGAAAAAGAAACCAAAAAAAAAAAGCATAAGTTTTAATATGGGTTAAGCCAAACGGGTCTATAGGCTCTATGACACGTGGGCCTACATCGGTGAACCAATCCTTTTGCCTTTCCATCCCTCTCCTCCTGATTCGTGGGGGAAGGGGTACCCTGACCCCACAAACCAGTGACCCAACGACCTAGTGTTATCTGCATTCGTCTCACTGTAGCAATTCAGGTCACCTGCTATCACCTTTAACTACCCAATGGAATCTTATGCCTCTACTAGGCTCTATGACACGTGGGCCTACATTGGTGGCCCGTGGCTCTGCGGCGCCATTTTTGTCTCCCATAGCTAGAGACAGAGGGGAGAAGAGCACTCAGCACTGAGCACATGACAACTCTGCTCGGCTGCTTTCTCCTTCCTCTCCCCAGCCAAAGCCCAAAAGAAATCAAAAAGCTTTTGGTACAACATTCATTCGGACTGCTCTTGCCACCGTGTTCAACTTGGTAATTTGCAAGGTGGGCGTTTTTCCTTCTTGCTCTCGCCTTATCTGACTCTCCCTCTGCAACTCAGTTTTTTTTCCCGTGGGAGTTTGCATGGCTGTTCTTGGTTGGGGTCTTGGGAATGGGGATGATAAGGCCATCTCAGGTTTCATCTTCTTTTTTACTCTAGGAAGGAAGAGTTCCCTCACTAGGTTGTAGCCATTTCTTGAGTCGGCAGAATTTGCCACCGCTGTGGTTATTGATCTTTCTGTCTCCGCCTATTAGAGCGATCCGAGTACTTTCACTTTTCAAGTGTCAAACATTCGTTAGTTGATTTAATTTCTGCAATTCGTCTTTGATGAAAAAAAATCTAGGGTTTCTCCTTAGGATTCTCTCTCTCTCTCTCTTGAGGTTGTATCAGTTTGATCTGACACCTCTCTCTCTCTCTCTGTTTGGAGGCTATATCAGTTCGATCTGACCTTTTGCAAAAAAAAAAAAAAACGTTTGGTGGGTCTGCTTTGATTTCAATGAGGGTGCTGTTCTTGTAAGGGCATTCATGTTCCTCGGATCTCTTGCATTTTTCAGCCACAGATCGGTTTATGTGATGCTAATTTCCTTTACTTTCCGATTATACTATCTGCAGGTTGATTTGAGGGGTACTGATAGTTGGCTGGGAGTAGTGGACAACAAATTGGTGCTAGTTCTTGCTGTCTCTTTTTGCTAAGGTGAGGTTTTGGTTACATGGCCATGCCCAGATTAATCACTGTTTCTGTTGAATTGTGTCAGTTTGTGCTAGATTCTTCTTGCCGATTGCATCTGGAATCACAATTCACAGGGTAAACACATGCTAGAAATAGTCTCAGAAATCCATTTCATCCTACAATTGTTCAGGCCAGGGCTCATGTCATAGTTCGTAGTTACAGTACCTTCTCTGAACATCATGTGAGTCTGGTTTCTCCCTCTATTTCCACAAAGGACTAAGATAAATAAGCTTCCATCATATAGTCCCTACCTATTTCCTACACTGACACGTTTCTTCCTTTTCTTAAATGAAAAAATTGGAAGTAATCTATAATTAACTTATGGACTTGCTAAGCTAACTAGATTATATGGAATAATATCTAGGCCCGATGAAATTCTGAATAATTTAAACTGAAGGTGCGCCTCATGCTAATTATTCATTCAACTTATTATTTCATTTTTCATTCAGTTCCATCTAAAACTACAAGATCATCTGAAACTTTCCTTATAGAATCAGTTTTTAACAATGTATAAACTGTCGTAAGGTGAACCGAATAGAGGTGACTATGTTATGACATTCTCTTGGCTACTGATCCTGCAGACTGTATGGCAGAGGACACAGGAATGAGTGGGATCCTAGGTGCATTGGCTACAAAGGTTGACTTCAAGTTGTCATTACTCAAAGATGTTATGACTGAGTACACGGAGATAAAACGTGTGATCAATGGGTTAGCCGAAGAAAAAGTGAGACTCCAGCAAGAGAAGGAGAGGCTCCAGCATGAGAAGGAGATGCTTCAGCAGGAACAGCAATGTCAGTTCCATGTGAATGTCAAATTCTGTTTCTAAAAGTAGTTTCTTTGGACCAGATGTGTCATATGTGTTCATTGGCATGATCACATTCTGTAGCCTAATATTCACCAGAATCATGCGCTTATTGCATTCTTTTAACCATTTATAGTGAGTCGAAATACCATTTCTAATTTCAAATATTCTTTTCAGCAAATGGAGAGACTTTGGCAGCAATGAAGGAGGACCTTTTGGCATCAAATAACACATTGGTGGCAGCAAGAGATGCACTTGTGGCATCAGCAGAGGAGATTTCTCAAAAGAACTCCTGCCTGGAGTTTCTAAAGAAAAAACTTCAAGAGAGTGAAGCCAAGAATAATCAAGCTGAACAACTGTGTGGAAGTGCTATGGAGTCTATCCAACCAAGAGGGGTAATAATGATAACCTATAGCCTTTGTCCCCAATAATAATTTTTTTATTAATGTCATTGGTCAGTCACGTTCTGTAGTTCAGCCTAACATATTGTAGCTTTTTTATAATTTGAGCTTCTGTTTTTTTTATATGTATATTATGCTATGCTTTGTTGGGTTTCATCTCTGGCCAACAGCAACTTACTTAAAGACTATAAGGCTTTGTTGTTCTGAATTCGAGGTTTAACTGACGTGTTAAATATCTCTGTATAGTTTTTCCTTGTATATTTTTGTATAATGACTCTTATGAATAAGTAAACTTTCTTAGGAATACATGGAGTGCCTTGATCCACAACCTCTAGAAATTACAAAGAAATTAACATGAGTTTTCTTTTTTATTTTTTTTCAGTGAGGTTACATGATCCTAAAGATAACCACGGCGGTGTTTATCCTCAACCGCGCGCCCACCAAGGCCCTAAAGGGCAAGATGCCGTTCGAGACTTGGCATGGACACAAGCCGAACGTGTCCTTCCTCAGGACATTTGGCTGCGTCGGCCATGTGAAGAACACCAAGCCTCACCTCAGCAAGCTGGAGGACAGGAGCACTGGTGGGGGTTATAACCCCAGGTACCCACGGCAATGGATATGGGCCGCACCACCAGAGGAGGTCCAACCCATAAGATCAAGGCCTACGGTGCTGGGTTTTGGTCGACGTGCACCGTAAGGCAATCAGAAGACATCTTGGCGATGAAGGAAGATCTGTTCGGATATGATAGATATTGTATTCTTTGTAAATACTTACCATATAGCCGAATAGATCTAGACCTAAACCGACTTATAACCCTACCCTCCAGACTATATAGGGCGGGTAAGGACCCCCTTGAATGCATCTCATATTCAATACAATCCACCAAAGACACATGATGTAGGGTATTACGTCGATCAGACGGCCTGAATCTGTCTAAATCGTTTTCTCTGCGCCTGTGTCACCATCCGGTTTCTATTACGCGCATTTTCACCAATCATCTACTACCGTGGGTATACCCATCGGTAGACTGCCGACTAGATTATGTCGACAGTGGCGCGCCAGGTAGGGGGTATGTGTGCTGATTCCATGGCCAACCAGATGACCAAATTCTCGAGATCCATGATCTTCCCTGAAGCCAGGCAGTCGTTCACGATTGGATCCATAACCTGGATTATCAACGCTGACGGCAACAGAGAGATCGTGGAGGCAATCTAGGATAATCCTGCCCAAAACGTGTCGGCGCTGATCTCGCCGGCGCTGGCACCAGAAGCTCCAATCCCGGTTCCTTGCCGAGTTAGGAGATCCATTGATCAGGATGATCTAATCGCATCTATCGATCGGGTCACCAATGGCTTAGCCAAGTTCTTGTGTCTCGCGGAATCAGTTTTAAATCAATCTACCAACGGAGACGTGACTCCTGCACTCCAAGGTCACCACGCCACTAATGCCGAGCACCCTGCTCATGCACGTCGTCCGAGGTGGCAAGATGAAGATCTAGTGATCACGGCAACTCCGGACGGGCGTATTGTTCAACGCCGACCACTCCCCGCCCCGATGGAGAACATGCCGAGGCCCTATTCTTTTGGGCTGGTGGGTGTGGATCCGATCTATCGGGACGCCCTACACCATCTTTTCGCCGACCACACCAAGCGCAGCTACATCAACGACCTCTACCAGATCGACCTCCCTGAGGGCGACCAGCTTGTGCCAATAGTAAACATGGTGCAAATCCGGCAGCTTCTGGATGAAACGCTCCATACAATCTTGGAGGAAAGCCCTGAGCCATATTCTAAGGGCTCTACCACAGCCTGCCCACCTTTCCCTCTAGGCTTTGGGAGAGAGCTTTTAATGGTTAGCCACGATAGCGTTGCTGTTGATGGAGAAATCAGTGTCCAACGCCGTGAGCGTGAAGCCAGGAACACTGATCGCCAACGACATCATAATGAAGAAGCAGAAAATGCCGCCCAGCTACCAGAGGTGGCCTGCCGCCTCTCGCTCATAATCTCCAACAAGAGTTCCTCATGGTGGACAACCAGCAAGTGGAGCAGACGTCGAGCGCTAATCTGGCTGTGGCCACCCACGAGCTGGCTAGACTCCCACCAACGCCGGAGGTACTCAAGATTCAAGCGCTGCTTAAAGCAGCTCAGGTCTAGGTCAACGACATCCAAAACCTAGTTTCGTCTTTTTTGACCGCATCGGCTCGCAGTCGAAACCCCTGTGGCTCTCGCCACGAGGGGGGAAGCTGTTATCATAGCGGCCAGATCGTCCAAGGGGGGTCTTTGGGCAATGTTTCCATCAACCCTGGATCACAAGGACCACGAAATCAACATGGCCGACCAGCTCATGACGCCACCAGGAGGTTAATCAACCCCTACGTGGTGACGCCCGTGACCATATCAACGCCAATCTCGATGCCCGCAATCTCATCGAGAACAATCATGCCTAGCTGCATCAGGCAAAACTCCAACACCGACAGGAGTACGATGACCAACACGGCAACCCCGTCGGCCCTCGACGACTCCCTGCGCTGTCGAGCCGATAGAACCTCACCCCTTCACAGCAAGGCTGCGAGCTATACAGTGGTCCGTAGGCTTTAAGGTCTTCGGGGTCGATCCCTATGATGGCAAGGCTAATCCCGAGCAGTGGATGTAGCTCTACGAGATCACCGTATGTGCCATCGAGGGAAACAGCGACGTAATGGCAAACTATCTGCCTGTTATGCTCTCCCAATCTGCCAATAATTGGCTTATGGGCTTGGGGGAGGACTCCATCGAATCTTGGGATGATCTTAAGAGAGTTTTTATCGAGAATTACATGGCAACGTGTCAGCAGCCTAGCATGAAGTATGATCTAGAGAAACTCCATCAGACGTCTGGGGAACCTTTGTGAAGCTACATCAGGCGTTTCTCGAAAATGAGGAACACCATCCCCAACATCAGGGACAGTGAGGCCATCTTCGCTTTCACCAGAGGACTCCATCACCATCAGGAGTTGCGCTCCAAACTTTACCGCAAGAGGCCCTAGACCATCCGTGAACTCCTTAAGGTTGTAAACTCATACGCAGACTCCGAAGAAGCTGATTGGTAGTTCAAGGATGACGTTGCTCGTGCTTCCCGCTCGGATCACCACCCACGTCGTGATGATGATCGTCACGAAGAACGACATTATGAAGATCGCGGCAAGCGCTACAACGATTGTGAACGCCGTCATAATGATCGACCAGAGGGATCAAGGGCTGCACAGCCACATCGCCGCTGACTGGAAAACTTTATCAACAACATAGAGCAGCCACGCACTAAGCGTAATTTCAATGCTGCCTACGAAAATCTCCTTGACGGTCCATGCCTAATTCACAAGGACAACAAGCACACCATGCGGCGATGCTATGGCATGGCCAAAGCTTTCTGCGATGAGGAGCAGAAACGGCAGTGGCGCAAGGACGATGAGTCAGATGACGGCAAGGGGGAGGAGCGTCCTAAGGACGCACGACCCACTTTCCAAGATGCCAACAAGACCGTCGCCACAATCTTTGGAGGGTACGCCGCCTTCGAGAGCAAATGCCAATAGAAACTCACCACTCGGCAGGTCATGTCGATCACCAAGTACGACACGGTCGTCGATCCTAAATATCTGGACTGGTTAGAGTACCCTATCACCTTGAGTAGGGCCGACCAGTGGGTGGATATCCCATACCTAGGGCGTTTCCGACTCATGTTGGATCCCACCATCCGCAACGTGCGCTTCAAGAAGGTCCTCATCGACGGTGGAAGTGCCCTCAATCTCCTCTTTGCCGGGGCCCTAATTGTGTTAGGCCTCACAAAGGACGATCTCATCCCTATTGATTCTCCATTCTGGGGGATTATACCTGGCAGAGCATCCCAACCTTTGGGGCAGATCCCCTTGCCAGTCTAGTTTGGCACCACCGGCCACTTCCGTACTGAGTACGTGAACTTCTTCATGGCAGACTTTGACACCACCTACCACGCCATCCTTGGTCGACCAGCGCTCATCAAGTTCATGGCTGTGCCCCATTATGTCTACCTAGTGTTGAAGATCCCGATGGAACAGGGCGTTCTCACCCTGCGTGCCAATGTCTCCACCGCCTATGACTGCGAAAGAGAAGGACTCGCCATCGTTGATGCGATGGATCTCTCGGCCAGAATAGAGGCTTGCATCGCCGACTCCAAGAAGGTCCTAGTGGAGGAGCAGGCGATCCCAACTCAGGAGCCACCTCGATCTACAACTAAGTCCAAAGACACAAAGGAGGTTGAGCTCGTGATCGGCGATAGAAGCAAGACGACCCAGATTGGGGTCCATCTCGACCCCAAATAGGAAGACATGCTCATTAGCTTCCTTCACAGAAACATCGACGAGTTTGCATGGAAACCTGCTGACATGCCTGGCGTTCCTCGGGAGCTGATCGAGCACTCCTTAAATGTTTCGCCGACCGCCAAACCGATCAAGCAAAAGCTCTGACGATTCGCAAGACAAAAAGGAGGTTATTAGGGCAGAAATAACTCGGCTATTAGCAGCTAGCTTTATTAAAGAGGTGTATCACCCGAAGTTGCTCACCAATCTAGTCCTTGTACGAAAATAGAATAATGAATGGAGAACGTGCGTTGATTACACCAATCTCAACAAACACTGCCCTAAAGACCCCTTCGGCTTACCTCACATTGACGAGGTCGTAGAGTCAACAGCCGGTTGTGAGCTCTTTTGCTTTCTCGATTGCTATTCTGGTTATCACTAGATCCCCTTAAAGGAGGAAGACTAGATCAAAACTTCGTTCATCACACCCTTCGGTGCCTATTGTTTTACCACCATGTCCTTTGGGCTAAAAAACGCCAGCGCCACCTACTAGAGGGCTATCCAGCTGATGCCTCTAGGACCAAATTAGGAAGAATGTCGAGGCCTACATCGATGATGTGGTAGTTAAGTCTAATACTACAGACAACCTCATCGCCAACCTCGAAGAAACTTTCCAAAACCTGAAGAAATTCCAATGGAAGCTGAATCCCACTAAGTGCATATTCGGTGTTCCATCTGGTATACTCCTAGGCAACATCGTTAGTCGCCATGGCGTAGAAGCAAACCCAGAGAAGATAGAAGTGGTTACCAAGATGAAACCTCCGACCTACATGAAGGATGTCCAGAAGCTAATGGGATGCATGGCGACTTTAAGTCGTTTCATATCCCGATTGGGCGAAAAGGGTTTGCCGTTCTTCAAGCTGCTCAAGGCTTCGGAGAAGTTTACCTGGAAGTCTAAAGTAGACAAGGCCTTTGCTGAGCTCAAGCAATTCCTCACAACGCCTCCAGTCATGATGACACCACAAGCTGGCGAAACCTTATTGAACTAC